AAGCCATGACCAGGCCATCCACTTACAGGGACTATGAACTGTCAAACAGCTTTTGAGAATTTAAAAAGACTATTTGTTGCTGAACCGGTCCTAAAGCACCCCTGCCCAGGGGAACCCTTTTTAATCCAAGCTGATGCCAGCGACGTGGCAGTCGGAGCTGTATTACTGCAAAAGAACAAAAGTGGAGTTCTACAACCCTGCGCCTACACCTCTAAAAATTTTACTGAAAGAGAGAGGAGATGAGCAATCTGGGAGAAGGAGGCCTTCGCAATACGTGGGGGCTGTTAAACTGGCGACACTATCTAGAAGGGAGCAAGGTGCCATTTTGTTAGAGAATTTTAATTTCTCTATTGGTGAAAAATAAATCAGAAGCTCTCACAGTTGACTGCATTTAGCTGATTCAAATAACTTTATATTTATATAAAAATATTTACAATACCATTCTTCTTTACAGCAACATAGCTTAATGAAGATTTCTTACAGAGACAGATCAGAGACAAAACTTGAGACTGGAAATCCAGCTCCTAACTCAATACTCAATAAGCTTTTTGCACAGACTCAGTAGCCCTTTCTTCTCATTGGCTGGCTGAGTTACCACATGACTCTTCCTGTTCATGAATATTCCAACACTCCTCCCTTCGTGACAGGAAGAGACATCTGACCTATTGACTTAACACATTTTCCATAGTGAATACCACCCAATGGTTTAGTCATCATGTCTGCCAAATTATCTTCAGAAGAACAATGATGTAAACTAATCAATTTTCCTTTTACAGCTTCCCTGACATTACAATACTTAATGTCTACATGTTTACTTCTGTTCTTCACCCTGTCACCAGTTGCCATTTTTATACAGGCAGCATTGTCTTCAAATACCTTTACAGATTCTTTTACATTAATATTTAAATCTTGCAACAACTGTACATACCATGTAACTTCAGAACACAATTCAGATAAAGCAATAAACTCTGCTTCCGCTGTTGAAATAGCAACAGTTGTTTGTTTTCTGGACTTCCATCCAATCAGAGTCCCTCCAAACAATATTATAATCCCAGAATTTGATTTCCTTGTGTTTATGTCATTTGCATAGTCACTATCGACATAACACTTTAATTTCAATTCCTCAGTAATCTGTATTTGAAGATCCAAATTTATAGTTCCCTTTAAATATCTGAGAACCCTTTTTACACCCATCCAATGTAACTTTGTAGGTGCAGCAGTAAAACGACTCAAAATGCTTACTGCGCAAGCTATGTCTGGTCTGGACCACTGTGAAAGATATAACAAACTCCCTATTGCTGAGTGATATATCTCTTGATCACAGGTTTCACCTTTGTCCGCACTTAAACTATTATAAAAATCCGCACTCATGGGTGTGGGAGCAGTATTGCAATCTTTCATATTATATTTCTCCAATAACTGCTCAATTTTTCTCCTTTGACTGAGAATATAACCACCTTTTTCATTTTTCTGTATCTCTACACCGAGATAATTTTTTATTTCTCCCAAATTCTTTAATTCAAATTTCTTTCCTAATTTATCAGCAAATTCCTTGACTTGTGATGCATCCTTTGCGATGAAGCAAAGATCATCCACAAATGATAACAGTAGACAATTCCCTCCTTGTAACTGTCCAGTATATATACAATTATCAGCTTTGCAACTTTTAAATCCAAGATCCTTTAAAGCAGTATCTAAACAGATATTCCAGTTTCTGGCTGACTGCTTCAGCCCATAAATAGCCTTGTTTAATTTATATACCATGTTAGGTTTTGCAATTTCATATCCTGGTGCTTGGATCATATAAATTTCTTCCTCTAACTCAGCATTGAGGAATGCAGTTGTGATATCAAAGTGCCAGATTTTATGCTTATATGCCGCTGCCAACGCCAGTGCTAATCTTATACTCTCACTTTTCACAGTTGGCGCAAATACTTCATCATAGTGCACATTCTTTAATTGTGAAAAACCTTGTGCCACTAACCTGGCCTTATACTGTATATCATTATTTGGCAATACCTTTTTCTTATATACCCATTTACAACCCACAGCTTTGGTTCCCTGTGGCAAAGTCACTGATTTAAATACTTCATGGTCTCCCATGGATTTCATCTCTTTATCCATGGCCTCCTTCCATTTTTCTTGTTCAGCTTTTGGTAATGCCAACACCTCTTTATAACTTCTTGGCTCATACCACACATTGCAAACCTTTACCTTGCTGGCAGAATACCTGTCAGGCGGAATTCCTTTATTACATCGCTCTGACCTACGTGGTATTAACTGCTCCTGTGTCTCAAGTCTTTCTGGTTTCATGTCTTGTTCAGCCTCTCCTCCCTGAACATTGACATCTTCAATAATCATTTTTTATCATTAGATGAGTTATTGTCATTAAATAGATCACCGTCATTAAGTGAGACATACCCAGAATTTGCATTAATTCTGTCCCAATTTTGTTCTGCAAAATTAGCAGACCTTGAAATTATAATTCTCTTACTTCCATCGCTAAAGCGATATCCTTTTGACCCTGGCTCATAGCCCACAAACCTGAGCTTTTTTGCCTTTTGCTGTCTCTTTCTTCTGATTACTTTCGGAATATGTACCCATGCAGTACTTCCAAAAATTTTCAAATGTGCCAGTGATGGCTTTCTCCCATATAGAATATGGAGTATTATTAATGGAGGAACTCCAAAGCCTGTTAACTATATAATTAGCAGTCAATATGCCTTCTCCCCGATATGACCTGCTCAAACCAGAATCCTCCAATAATGAATCTTTCATTGTTTGCAAAACACCATTCCTTCTTTCAGCTACACCATTCTCAGAATTTGTACGTCTATGTCTTATCCCCAACTGCCCCAACCATTGTTGGAATTTAGTTGACATAAATTCAGTACCTCTGCCAGTTTGCAACTGACACACTTGTTGTCTGTATCTTCTCTCTACAAAACTTACCCACTGTTTGAATTGTTGTAACACCTCTGTCTTTGCTCTAAGCAAGTAGCAAAACGAATACCTGCTATAATCCTCAACAATTACCAGTGCATATTTTGCTCCTCCCAAACTGGCTTGCATAGGTCCCACCAGATCTGCATGGACCAGCTCTAGAACTCTTTTTGTTTGTCTTGTGCTACATTTACTAACTGGGAATGCCTTTGACTTTGATGCTTTGCATACTGCACAGTCCAAATATGTTTTGCATCCCTTCAAATTTTGCCCTTCTGCAAACTCTTGCATTTGCTGCAAAACTTTAAAGCTTGCATGGCCAAGTCTTCTACGTAGAAGATGAACACATGAAACATGCTCTGCAACATTAAATATATGGGAACATTGAACTTTTTGTCCCTGCAAAGGATTATCTTCCTTTATGCCTTCTGCACAAATATCCCCATTCCTTTTGATGAGACATTTCCCATTTACAAAAATGACCTCAAAACCTTGTTTGTCTAAATTAGACACACTTAACAAATTATGTTCCATCTCAGGTAAACAAAGCACATTGGTAAACTTTGATTCCAAATATGGAATTTTTACATCACCTCTTCCAATGACTTTTGCTTTCTGGCCATTTGCCAAAGCCACAGCTTCTGGTGCTACTGGAACAAACCTGCAAAATAATTCAGAGTCATTAACAATTGTTTGACTTGCCTCACTATCTATTAGCCACTTGTCTCTGTTGTTGCTATTGCAAACTTTTGCAACACCAAAAAGTTGCTTTTGGAAAGCAGTCCTTTTTCCTTGCACAAATGTCTTTTTCTGCAAATTGTAGCAAGTCTTTTCCCGCTGAGCAGCTCTCTGCTTGCAAAATCCCTCCTTTGTTGCAATTTGGTCCGGGTCCAATCTATTTTTTCTTCTCCTCTGGAGACTTGCAGTCTGGACCCCCTCCTCAGGAATTTCTCCTCCTCCTGGCTGCTTCTAAAATGGCATTTTTCCTCTTCATTAAGCAAACATGCCTTTAAAGCCTCAAACTTTAAGTCTTGCTCTTCTTTGCACTCAAATATTGCAGAAACTGTGTCCCAGGTTTTATCTAAACTGTTCAATACTAATAAAACCTTCTAGGACTCAGGGAATTTAATCCCACATTGTTCTAAATCCAAAAATAAACTTTGCATTTTATTTAAATGCTGTTCCACAGATTCACCTGGTTTCAAACAGGCTCTGTAAAGATTTCTTGACAATTGCACTATGTTGCAAGCAGAAACATTCACGTGCACAGCTCTCAATTTCAACCAAATCTCCTTTGCAGTCTTTAAATTTGCAACATTTAGAAATTGTTCATCATCTAAATTCAGGATGAGATAAGCCATTGCTTGATCATGGCTTTTCTGATCAGCAGCTGCAAATACTTGTGGTGGATTTTCAACAATATACCACAGCTCTTTTGCTTTCAGCAAACATTCCATTTTTGCAGCCCACACAATGTAATTCTTCTGGCCCAAACGAGGCAGAGAGTTTTCCTCAAATTCCATTGCAGTCATTCTGCTAATTCTGCCTTGTTCTTAAACTTTCTAAACACAGACAATTTCTTCCAGCTTTAAATTACAATGCAGTCCTTAGTAAGCTCTGGGCCCATGACCTGTTAGAGAATTTTAATTTCTCTATTGGTGAAAAATAAATCAGAAGCTCTCACAGTTGACTGAATTTAGCTGATTCAAATAACTTTATATTTATATAAAAATATTTACAATACCATTCTTCTTTACAGCAACATAGCTTAATGAAGATTTCTTACAGAGACAGATCAGAGACAAAACTTGAGACTGGAAATCCAGCTCCTAACTCAATACTCAATAAGCTTTTTGCACAGACTCAGTAGCCCTTTCTTCTCATTGGCTGACTGAGTTACCACATAACTCTTCCTGTTCATGAATATTCCAACACATTTGAAGTATGGACAGATCACAAAAATCTAGAAGCACTTAAAACTCTCCGCAAATTGTCCCCAAAGCAAGTGCGGTGGGCACAGTACTTTAACTGCTTCAACTTCACTCTAAAATACATACCGGAAAGGAAAAACTTCCTAGCTGATGCGCTATCCTGATTACTCCAGTACAAAACTGAACATGAAGAGGTTAATGAGGCAATTATCTCCAATCCACAAACTGCTGCTCAACTCACGCCTCGCAGAGTCCCTAATCCTGATGACCCTGGGGTAAAGAAAATAAAATAAGATCAATGGTTCAAAGATAATCAAACCTCCCTAACATGCAGAGATGGCTTGGCTTACAAAGGGGGAAACTATATTTGCCTGAAGCCCTCCATTGTAATGCTTTCAAACACAACCATGATGTAAAACAGGCTGGACACTTCGGATATCTAAAAACTCTACATCTCATCCACTGGCAATTTTGGTGGCTGGAGCTGAAACGGGATGTGGAAAACTATGTAAAATGTTGTACTGTATGTGCCACAATGAAAAGAATCCAAGGGAAAACCCCTGGATTACTGCAGCCAGTGGCAGACCCTTCTCAACCATGGGAAGAAATAGCTATGGACTTTATAGTAGACCTACCTGAAAGTAGAGGAAATACTGTCATCTGGACGGTGATAGACCTGTTCTCGAAGCAGGCTCATTTCATTGTATGCAAAGGACTCCCATCTGCCCCATGACTGACCAAATTGTTCCTGAAACATATCTACCAGCTGCAGGGTGCCCCTAAGTGAATAATTTCAGACAGGGGGGGGTGCAGTTCACAGTAAAGGTTTGGAGGAGTTTTCTTAAATTAATTGGATCATCTCAAGGCCTATCATCTGCTTTTCATCCACCAATCCACCAATGGGGCTGCAGAATCTGCTAACAAAATGGTGGAGCAATATCTCAGATGCTACATTTCCTACCAACAGACAAAATGGACTGACCTCCTCCCTTTCGTGGAGGTGGCATACAATAATTCCGTTCACAGCAGCACCGGCCCATCAGAGTGGCCACAGGAAAGGAGTTCAGCCCAATACCTGAATATCCTCAGGTGTCCTCCGCCTCCCAGACACTTGATCAGTGGGTGAGGGGGTGGGAAGAAGTTTGGAGAAACACGAAAACTGTATTAAAAAAGACTTCTGAGACCTATAAAAAAAGGCTGATAAAAAGAGGGCTCCCCAAAGAACATTCCAAGTTGGGGAAAAGGTTTATCTTATCAGCTAAATATTTATGCCTCAAATTGCCCAGCAAGAAATTGAGACCATCAACCCCATCACAGTAGGATTAAAACTCCCTTCCATTGCAGCTTGTTAAAACCTTGTTGGGGCTCCACTTTAAGATCTCCCCCTAAGAAGGCCCCCGGCCCCTCGTAATAGCAGGTAAGACTCACTATGAAGTGAAACATATTCTTGATTCTAGAATTTTTAAAGGGAAATTGTAGTACCTAGTACAATGGAAGGGGTACTCGTTGTCCGAAGCTACTTGGGTGAAATCTAGCGATGTGAAGGCTGACCGACTCATCAAAAAGTTTCATGAGAAAAACCCCAACAAACCAAGAGATAATCCCTGACATATGCTTTTGTTTACATACAGGACCTATCCTTTTTGTGAGGGGGGGATGTCAATGCTGCTAATATTGGATATTCTTGCTTTGACAAAATATGCAGAACTGTCTGGTATTTTTAGAGTTAACTTAGATGATGCTGGGAGGGGAGGAGAAAGAATGTATGTAGGGAGTAATTAAGATAAGAAATACGCGGGCTGCAGAACGGAAGTGAACCTTTGCCCTTCGGGCTGATTGGAAAACGTGATTTATGATAGCAAAATAAGGGAGGGAAAATGCTAGCAAAATAACTGCTCAGGGGACATTTCAGATCTTGGCATCCCATTCATGGCGTGCCAACTTTCTGTTACACGAATAAAGACTTTTTAGGATAAACAATGCCTGGAAGTTCTTTGAAGTGTTTCATTAGTTGGAACCTTGACACAGGACTTGGCAAAATCTGTAAAAAACTAACCTCTAATTGTGACCATCTAAGCTCTACTAATAGAGAACAGCTGTGACAAAAAAGATAACAATCTGGGCTGCAAACAAAGTGAGACTTATAAACTTCAGGGAACAAAAAAAATTTTTTTTTAACTTTCTGGATTACAAGTATTTAACTCTGACCCCAAAGCTATTTGCAAAGAAAAAAAAAATTGGATTCTTGGTCATCATGGAAAATCAGAGATTTATAGAAAGAACTTATCAAGAAAAAATAAATATTTTTCAAGAGGAGACATATGATATGTTGCAACTAATTCAAATAACAATGATTTCAAACCACAAAGAAATCCAAAATAACTTTGAAAATATAAACCAATTCATCTCCAATTTCACTTTACAACAAAAAAATCCCAGGAAACAACAACACAGAAGGAACAGATACAACAGACAATTGAATACAAATTTGAGGATAGAGACTTAAAGATGGAACCTAACAAAACAAGGAAGTATGATTTAACCCAAGTGGAAAAAATTACAAGAAATACTGGATTTGGAAAAGACAACTTATACTTTAACACCACAAAACAAATTTGAGGATAAGAAAAAAGATTGGACAAAATGAACTGCAGAGATGCCAGGAAAAACACTAGAACTGGAGAGACAAAAAATGATAAGAGAAGCAGAGAGAAAAAGAAAGAAAAAGATTTTCAACAAAAATGAATGGGCAAATGCCTCTCACAAAGATATTGTACTTGACTTACCTTTTATATCTACAGTAATACCTATAAGAATATGGAAAGATTCTCTGACTCAGCAGAACATATTGATTAAGAAAGACACTGGGCAAAAGAAAAAGGCTAAAGTGAAAATTAAGAAAATAGACAATGAGGCCTATCAGAGAGAATATTTAAAAGAGAAACACCTGTTTGAATATGGTTAAAGAAATAGAAAAATTTTGGATGTGAATTTGACTTTCAGAGGGAAGAGCCCCTCAGGTAACATAGTACTTTCTTTTTCTTCTTCTTCTTTATTTTATTTCTTGATATGAGTAATATAAAAGAGTTGGAATAGCTTATATAAAGGAAATGTTTTAGATATCTAAAGGTGATTGACTTTAAGAAAATTACAATGGATTAAAAATGTTTTGAATAAGAGTTAAAAGACTAGATGACTAGATTTATTAAATGGAATATTTAAAGATTAAATATATTTTTAATTATGGCAAAAAAGAATGAATTTTTTTTGGAAATAAATATGTATTAGCTTATAGGAAATAGGGATTTTAAGTAGCATACTATCTTTTTATTTATTTTTTATTCTTATTCTTCTTTTTGCTTTTTAAATCTTATTTATTCCTTAAGAAAGGTAAAAGTATTAGGGTGGCTTACATGAGAAAAAATAGACTTAAATATTTAAATGTAATTAATTTTGAGAAAATCTTCTTGGGGGCCCCAAAATTACCCATGCTGCTGCACTCTGGACCAGTAGTAGCTTCCAAATAACAAATCATTATTTCAAACTATTTCTGTTTTTACTGTACTCTTTTTAGTGCAAAAGCTGGTCAAAGACAATAATAAAAATATATTATTTTGATACTGATAAAAAAAAGAATGTTTTGAACATTGTGGGGAAAACAAATGTAAACAAGAACTGCAAACAGGATTTATGATGAGACAACCAGAATGACTAAATAGAAAAGGAATATTATATTGGTGTGATTATTATCTCTAGAAATATTAGAAAACCTTTATAACAACAACAACAACAACAATAAAAATAATAAAGTTGGAAGGGACCTTGGAGGTCATCGAGTCCAACCCCCTGCTCAGGCAGGAACCCTACACCATTTCAGACAAATGGCTGTCCAGTCTCTTCTTAAAACCTTCCAGTGTTGGAGCATTCACTGCTTCTGGAGGCAGGTTGTTCCATTGGTTAATTGTTCTAACTGTCAGGAAGTTTCTCCTTAGTTCTAAGTTGCTTCTTTCCTTGATCAGTTTCTATCCGTTGCTTCTCGTCCTACCTTCAGGCACCTTGGAGAATAGCTTGACTCCCTCTTCTTTGTGGCAGCCCCTGAGATATTGGAACACTGCTATCATGTCCCCCCTCGTCCTTCTCTTTGTTAAGCTAGACATACCCAATTCCAGCAACCGTTCCTTATATGTTTTAGCCTCCAGTCCCCTAATCATCTTTGTTGCTCTTCTCTGTACTCTTTCTAGAGTCTCAGCATCTTTTTTACATCGTGGTGATCAAAACTGGATGCAGTATTCCAAGTGTGGCCTTACAAAGACATTGTAAAGTGATATTAATACTTCACGTGATCTTGATTCTATCCCTCTGTTAATGCAGCCCAGCACTGTGTTGGCTTTTTTGGCAGCTGCAGCACACTGCTGGCTCATATTTAAGTGATTGTCTACTAGGACTCTGAGATCCCTCTCACAGTTACTACTGTTGAGCAAGGTACCCCCTATACTATACCTGTATACTCAATCATCATTCATTAAAACAACAAAAATTGTATTAACTTAAAGTTGGTAAAGGAGAACATTATGGGAAAAAGAGAAAATCAAGTAAAGTTATTATGTGGATTATAGATTATAGAAATCAACTGTTAGTGAATATTTCTTAAATGTAAACCCAGACAACATACACTTTACTGAATATTAAGGTGATTATGTTAAAAAATTAATAAAACATATTTTTAAAAAAAGAGAGTTGTTATGGTTATTATTGTCCTTCAGGGTGCCAGTGCTTTTCAATATTTACTTGAACTCATGAGGAGATTTGATGTTGAAGGAGGTTATCAATGTGCTTATGAACACATCTCGGTATTCTGTCATATCTTTAAAATATATATCAAGTTTCATCAAAGCAATCCAGATCTGGGCAAAGGCAACGGTGCCAAAATCTCAGCAATTTTCATAGTCTCCATATGAAATCTTACTTGATAAGAGATCTGGGTTATCACTCTTACAAATGGATGTCACAACCTGACTTTACACATATTTGAGCCAGTTATATTAGGCCTCCTGAAGCCTACCTCTCTTAAAATAGTCTTAAAACTAAATTATGCAATCTGGCAATTTGGTAATAACATTTTTCTACTCATTTGTCAGTATATGCAGCACTGGCTGGCAATTTGGCTGGCTGCTGTGTAAGTTAGCTTCATAGATCATTCTTTCTCCTCTTCTTCCAACATCTTCTCTGACCTCTCTCAGGACATGACTGTAGGCAATCAAGACCTTTGG